ACTTTTCGAAGTAAAAAAGGTACACTTCCTCAACAACTCTGTAGGTGATCCTGTTTGAGATATTTACATTTTTCTATATCGATGCATATTACTTAGCTCCAAGGGCGCTGAGTTAAGTTGTTGAGAGCATTACAAAAACTAAGTATGTGGTGAATCTCGTCAAAATAAACAACTTTTTCCTATATAATGTTTATCGAAAAATTGTACTACTAATTTTTCAAAACATGGTTGGTTTTTGTCATAATTTTTATGCAATTTTAGTTATTTGTATATCGAAAGCAAATGATTTTTTGATAAATCATGATAAATCACTTAGCACCATGAAAGCTAACCTAGGGTAGGTTAGGTCCAAAGTAAATGGGTTGATTCGACCCTCCATCGCAACTCGCAAGGGTTTATTGAGCCCCCACCTATTCAAACTTTACCAAATAAATCCAACTTCTGAACGAAGCCGATAAGTTCATACGGTGAGTGATCTTTCAGGTCAGATGGTGAGAATGTGGTGCTACCAAGCTCTGAAAACCTGAATCGGTCTGCAGCGGGGCAGACACAAAGTATATGCTCTGCTGTTTCATCATTTTCCAAACAGAGGCGACACGTACTGTCATCCGGTAGTCCGATTCTCTGCATATGATTCAGACGACTGTGACCTGTGAGGAGGCCTGTTAGACATCGTAGTTCATCCCTACTGTAGTCCAACAGCTGTTTGATATCAAGCTTCGAATGGTTAATGAACGCCTTGGAGTGAGCCAATCTTGGAAGATTTTGCAAGAAGTCCTTCAATCTTTTTGCCATACAAGTGTTTGATGTTTAGAAAAACCTAAAGCGATGCAAATGATAGGTTCTGGTCTGATAAAGCTGCTTGCAACACCCTCCTTCGCAAGAAAGTCAGCAGCCTCATTGCCTTCCAGGCCAGTGTAGCCAGGAATCCAGACCAGAGACTATTTCTTAAGTCTTCCTATTGAGGAAAGTCGTTTTTGGCAATTTGCTACCAATTTAGAACGTCTTGATGATTCTGATCAGAGTTTGGTTATGTTTAAACATAACAAACTGAAATATTTGCGTCGGTATGTGACAATGGATGAAACATGGATCCACCAATTCACACCAGAATCAAAACGATCGTCATCTAAGTAGAAAGCAACTGGTGAACCTCGTCCAACGCCCGACAGCACAACAATCGGCTGGAAAGGTTATGACTTTGGTATTTTGGGATTTGCGTGGTTGAAAGGGGAAATACCATCAACAGTGAATATTATATAGCATTATTGGATCATTTGAAGGCCGAAATTGCAAAGAAACGATCGCATTATGACAACGCATCGCAAAACTACATTAATTGAACTTTGAATTGTTTCCACATCCACCGTATTCGCCATATTTGGCTCCCAGCGACTACTGGCTGTTCGCAGACCTCAAAAAAATGCTCACCGGTAGGAAATTTCGCTCGTATGAAGAGGTTATTGTTGAAACTGAGGATTGGAAGGAGAGGTCCCAATGAGTGGCCACCGAGGTCACCAGACTTGGCGCCACCTGACTTTTTTTTGTGGGATCACCTCAAGGCAGTTGTTTATAAAACTCAACCTGCGTCACTTATGGAATTGCGAGAAAGACTTACGCAAGCATGTCGCGCCATTACTAGAACAACATTTGCCAAAGTTCGTGCAGAACTTGAAAATAAGCTGTGTTATTGTTTACAAAACAACGGAACACACTGTGAACATTTATTCAATCGACATTTTTAATAAATTTGCAGTTAAACAAAAATCTCATTAAATATTCCATTCAAGCCAAAGTTTCACAATTATTGCTTCACCCTGTACAATTATTATTTATACCATTAGATAGCAATTTTATAGTCTTTTCAATGATGTATCACAAGTAGGGGTTTCCAATTTAATCTTTTTGTGTTTTGATGGGTGGGCCTAGGGGTTGATGGGGGTGAGTTCTCTTTCAAGTCACTTTAGTTCCTCCTTACTATTCGGGCTTACTATCGGCTGTATCGTGAGATACAGCCCATTCTAAGTTTTAAAATTGACACACTGTATGTTTCATCCTCTACAATCAACTCCTCTACAGGCAACTCCAAATACAACATAATTAAAACTGAAACGTTAAAAACTATTACCGAATAATTGAAACGCAGCACCTCTATAGATTTAATCCAACAGAAACACAGAACTGAAATATTATTTTGGAAACGTATTTCAAAAACCTAGTTGTTGTTACGGATCTAATGTATGGGAGTAGTATTTTATAGAAAAAATTGATAGTTGGACTGATGGTTCGAGAATGTGTACGCCTAACATGCCTGCAAACAAAGGATCACGACTAATCATTGTGCATTGGAAGAAGGAAGAAGAGGAAGTAAAGGATGGGTTCAGAATTCTTATGAACTATGTAGCATAAAAGTAAACTGTTGCTGTGCATATTTTGGAGACCGTTTGTAGTGTGGAGAATTGTTGAGAATGAATGAGACGGGTATATGACATTTTACATCTCGATGCTTTTGAAAGCCTTACAAAAGCAAATTGCGACATGAAGAGTGAAAGTTTTTATTCCTTATGATTCAGTGTTCAACGGTTTCCAGATTACTTTTCCTAAAATTCATACGGAGTATTCATATGGTAATCAGATAATAACTGAGTGATAGAGATAACCGAGGTTACTAACGAGATCGAATAAAGATTCATATACCTGGATATAAATGAAGTGTAATATTGGTTACAATCATCTCCTGATGATATTTTGGCAAAATTAGTTTTGTTAGAAATATGCAAGTTCAAGTTTCTGAGAGCTACCTACAAATTATTTCTAATGAAGAAAACTTACTGTTGAAGGATATCAACTATCTGAGCTATGCAATAAAGAGATTATTATTATGTCATGCCACCCAAGCATACAGTTTCCCGAATTGACTGTGGTTTCCACTAAATTTGAATTGTACTGTAAACAAGAAGTGTTCAGATCAAATAAACCATAAACATTCATATGGGGTAGAGTTAAAACTGAAACAATTTGTTAATTTCATCATAAATTCTGTACACCAACGATTACACGTCTATTATTTGAGTAGATATATTCGAGAACTGGCCTCAAACGGTAGTCAGTGGTTTTCACATGAATAGTAATCAATTAAATTTTATTGATGCTTAATATTTATAATTATAAAAGGTTAACATGTATGCCATTTTTATAGTTTTATACCTACTGAAAGAATATATTCCTCAGTAGCATTAGTCTGTAAAATATGAACAATAAAAATCANATTCTTTTGATTTTGAGTCAGTCAGTATTATAGGACAACAAACGATATTAAAAAAAGACTCCTGAACGAAATGATTGAAATAACAAAACATGGAACAAAATGCGTTAACAAAAGGTCGGATATTGAAAACTTACACACCTCATATTTCAATCTAATAGAAAAAATCAAACAATAACTAACTTTGGAATCATCAACCGACTGCTTTTTCCAAATACAATTCTCATTTCTTTCATGGGCTTTTTTTGAATTATAAAGAACGATTTACAGACAGTTCTGATTGTTAATCCCTTCGTGTCTGTGTCAACGTCTTTCAGGAACCTGTGTACGTATTTATATTTAATGTCGAAATTATTCACTTCACCCTTCAACTCGGAAAGCCGCCAACTTGACAATCGAAATCATATTCAACGGTCGCCATCCTATTCAAATATAGACAAGAACAACGGCAAATTTTCTATTTGGATGAAACTTGGTATGACATTCAGGACAAAGGTACGAAAGGGTGGACTGATGGTTCGAGAATGTGTACGACTAACATGCCTGGAAGTGAAGGATGGGTTCAGAATTCTTTGAAACTATGTGGAAAAAAACTTTAGGACTGCAATGTTAACTATCAAAAGAACATGGAAGCTAATAATTTCAACTGTAAGGAAGAGAACTCTAACATCAACAAGACATTGATTCTTCCAATAATTGAGCCCTTGGATTTTGAGCTGAAGAACTTCAAAAATAATGTCACTAATGCACCTTTGAAAATCGTTTCAAACACGAATCATATTTTTGCTTAGGATAGGAAAATGAAAAAGACAACACATCACAAATGGCAGATTGTGGTTTGATAAGGGATATCGAATCATGTACAGCCAAGATAAAATTCCACTCAAGGAGTATAACAAAAATTATTTTCCAGGGTTAGTTATGAGATAGGATATGTTGCAGCCCTATAATGTTCATCACAGAAAATTAACAAGGAGAAATTCAGGCATCCATACAACAAAATCCATCCCTGAAATTGTGAAAGAGTCAGCTAGGAGAAAACTACTTGGTACCAAAAAATGTGCGAAATTCCCAGTACATTACGAAACTAGTCAAACCGATGAGCGGTTAAAAAAAATATTAAAAAAGGATCTTTACGTACTTGGCGGATTTTAGTATAGCTTCTACTCAACTAAGAACAGACATTTGACAAAAGCGTTTGATAATATTCTTATCATATGACGAATCATACAAAGATAGACAAAAAAAGGGAACAATATTTAATTTAGTTTTTTTTTCATTTCACTGTTTACTGGAAATAATTTCCCTGAATATATTTCTGCACTTTATTGGCCTATATGATTGATTCGTTGATTTTCTGAAATCCCATCAACTTTCTGCGCTGCCATCAACCCGAAAAATATTACTTTAAGAGCTGGTGAGTTGTAATAATTCTTCCAATAATTTTCGAACACGATTGTTCAGAAAATGCTTTTCAAATATAAAGTATTTGTATAACCCTGGTAAGAGAATCAAAAGATGATTATAATAAAGGACTATTTGACCTTTCCCATTTTCCTATCCCTCATAGGGAGTTGAACTACGAGATCTGAAAATATTTCTCGCAACTGTTCCCTTAGAAATGAAATTGAAGTATTTCCCATTGTTCACACCATTTCATGAAAACATTGAATTGAGGATGGAAACTTTCCAAATTGACTCCTCGGATAACAGTAATGATATTAGTTTTACTCACCTGTGATCTCTCAAATGGTCTTGTCTCCTGAAAGCTTTTCCACAAATATCACATGAGTAAGGCCTTTCATCGGTATGGGTTCGTTCATGTATCAACAAATTGTAACTTTTCGTGAACTGTCTGTTACAGTATTTGCAAATAAACTGCTTCTTAGGTCTTGACGCCCGTCCTGGTGCTCTGAGTAGCCTTCGGTCTAAATGGGCGTGCATCTGAGGAGGGCCAGGCGGAAAAAGAGTCCCACTCCCCGGAAACGTAAATGTGGACGGGTTGGCTGGTGAAGTAGGCAAAAATCCGGAGAAAGAATGATTTTGCGAACTTCCCGACGCTTCCAGTAGTCCTGGACGATGAGGAAGCATTAAAGCCGCAGCATGTGCCGCTGCCACGCAGGCTGCTTCTTCGCGAAAATGGAGTTCCTTCCGTTTATCCTGCATCATGGCCATTAGATCAAAAGTCGAGGTAGACTTCCTTACCGTCGAAAAACTGCTGGAAACATTTTTCTCCGAACTGGGTGCTCCCTCGTTCCTTTCTCTGTTTTCCTGGATCAGATCAGATCCCAGTAAAGGATGCATCTCACCAGGATATAATATAGGATGCATACTCCGAGAAGGAACAACCGGTACAAACGCTGAACTTTCCCTGTGGTGGCTCATAGTTGATTGGAGAGGTACTTGATGGTGGTAGGACAACTGCCCCTCATAGCGAGTAGCAGAAGAAGACCTACTATTAACACCAGACGGTAGAGAAAATTCACGACGTGAGATTGGGCGATCTTCTGCAGATAGGTTTGTTGCTGTTTCCGGCATCTTTTCTGAAACAAGACATTGCGTTACGTATTATTTCTCTCATCACCAAATTTTCAGTAAAATTAGTTTCTAATAACAGCATTTACCGACTGTATCGTCGGTTAATGCTGTTGAAATATTGGGTAAACAGAATACATTATCCGGTCCATGTAAAAATAAGTTTTTACGTAGGTATATCAAATGAAATCATCATGGCTTTATCGTCATTTTCCACTTTAACTTTGGCCATTGACAACGGCCATCTTGCTACATCTGTCAAATTAGTTGCCGTTTATTCAGTCTGTTTTGCCAACTCACCATGGACGGGTATATCATTCAACTTCACGTGCAAATATTGTTCTGTTCGGGCAGCGTATCGCGCCCCTCGTCCATTTTTCGGACGCCTTAGTCGTCTTACCGATAGGCCTATTCGCAATGTGGTGGATGAATTTGAGTCCACTTGTTCAGTAAACGATCGACCAACACACGTACGTCGACGAAACCCAAGATCTGCCAAAAACATCATTACTGCAAGAGAATCCGAGGCAGTCGATTTCGAGTCGCTCACAAGAACTCGACCATTCGCAGACCACAACTTAGCGAATTTTGCATCGTGACTTGAGCCTGCACCCATACAAAATTCATCTCCACAGGAACTGAAGATAAACGACCTGCTCTGGAGCAGTTGGCAACTGACCCAAATTTTCTCATCTTCAGCGATGAGGTTAATTTCTGGATGAATGTGTAGTGAACAAATAAAATTGTCGAATTTGGGACGATACCAATCCATATGAGATCCATGAGCGTCCAATGCATCATAAAAAAGTCACTGTTTGATGTGGATTACGGGCTGGCGGCGTCATCGGTCTATATTTCTTTGAGAACTACGTTGGTCAGGCCATCGATGATTACCAACTTATTAAGGCCTGAATTGGATGATGTAGACCCCACGAAATGTGGTTTCAAGGGTAGGTGCCACACAACTGGCACTAGCGATTTAAGGTTATGATTATCTTACGTGGAGGTGATGTGCACTGNCCGGGGTTTTTTGACTTGGGAAATCATAATTTCGTAATAATAATGTACCACCTAGAGGGTGATTCGTACGCTGTCATTATTTATTTCAAATTGACCTAACTTTTTCAACAGTAAACTTTTGGTACTTTTCATGAAAAAAAAACTAATTCCCACACCTTTTTCGAAGTAAAAAAGATACACTTCCTCAACAACTCTGTAGGTGATCCTGTTTGAGATATTTACATTTTTCTATATCGATGCATATTACTTAGCTCCAAGGGCGCTGAGTTAAGTTGTTGAGAGCATTACAAAAACTAAGTATGTGGTGAATCTCGTCAAAATAAACAACTTTTTCCTATATAATGTTTGAAAAATTATGCATTATCGAGATACTACTAATTTTTCAAAACATGGTTGGTTTGTGTCATAATTTTTATGCAATTTTAGTTATTTGTATATCGAAAGCAAATGATTTTTTGATAAATCATGATAAATCACTTAGCACCATGAAAGCTAACCTAGGGTAGGTTAGGTCCAAAGTAAATGGGTTGATTCGACCCTACATCGCAACCCGCAAGGGTTTATTGAGCCCCCACCTATTCAAACTTTACCAAATAAATCCAACTTCTGAACGAAGCCGATAAGTTCATATGGTGAGTGATCTTTCAGGTCAGATGGTGAGAATGTGGTGCTACCAAGCTCTGAAAACCTAAATCGGTCTGCAGCGGGGCAGACACAAAGTATATGCTCTGCTGTTTCATCATTTTCCAAACACGTACTGTCATCCGGTAGTCCGATTCTCTGCATATGATTCAGACGACTGTGACCTGTGAGGAGGCCTGTTATACATCGTAGTTCATCCCTACTGTAGTCCAACAACTGTTTGATATCAAGCTTGGAATGGTTAATGAATGCCTTGGAGTGAGCCAATCTTGGAAGATTTTGCAAGAAGTCCTTCAATCTTTTTGCCATACAAGTGTTTGATGTTTGTTTGGAAAAACCTGAAGCAATGCAAATGATAGGTTCTGGTCTGATAAAGCTGCTTGCAACATCCTCCTTTGCAAGAAAGTCGGCAGCCTCGTTGCCTTCCAGGCCAGTGTGGCCAGGAATTCAGACCAGAGATTATTTCTTAAGTCTTCCTATTGAGGAAAGTCGTTTTTGGCAATTTGCTACCAATTTAGAACGTCTTGATGATTCTGATCAGAGTTTGGTCATGTTTAAACATAACAAACTGAAATATTTGCGTCAGTATGTGACAATGGATGAAACATGGATCCATCAATCAAAACGATCATCATCTAAGTGGAAAGCAACTGGTGAACCTCGTCCAACGCCCGACAGCACAACAATCGGCTGGAAAGGTTATGGCTTTGGTATTTTGGAATTTGCGTGGTGTAATATTCATTGACTATCTTGAAAGGGGAAATACCATCAACAGTGAATATTATATAGCATTATTGGATCATTTTAAGGCCGAAGTTGCAAAGAAACGATCGCATTAAGATAACGCAACGCAAAACTACATTAATTGAACTTTGAATTGTTTCTACATCCACCGTATTCGCCAGATTTGGCTCCCAGCGACTACTGGCTGTTTGTAGATCTCAAAAAAATGCTTACCGGTAGAAAATTTCGCTCGAATGAAGAGGTTATTGCTGAAACTGAGGCCTATTTTGGGGCAAAAGATGCACTATGCAGCTCCAGTTAGGCACTGATTGGATACTAATTATCCAAACAAATGGATTGGAAGGAGAGGTCCCAATGAGTGGCCACCGAGGTCACCAGACTTGGCGCCACCTGACTTTTTTCTGTGGGATCACCTCAAGGCAGTTGTTTACAAAACTCAACCTGCGTCACTTGGGGAATTGTGAGAAAGAATTACGCAAGCATGTCGCGCCATTACTAGAACAACATTTGCCAAAGTTCGTGCAGATAGAGCCTCTTCGAGACTAATTTCATGTCTCTCTCGAAAGATGAATCAAAATGAGTTTTTGAAAATATGATATCTGCGGCAATTTAGAAGATGACTTCAGCCCCAAAATTAATTCCAGCTGTCAGAATAATTCTCAGCACTGGTTTCAAAGATTCCTGTTGTTCCTTTTTCGAAAAAACTTGGTATAATGACAGTAACGTCTATATTAATTCACCAATGTCTACTGGAAATACATAAGAATAAGCATGTAATTCTAACCAATTATCAGTTTTACAAACGTAATACGAGAGCGAGAGGAGCTCATTTCATGAGACCACCCAGAACTGTCAAGGTCAGATAGGCACATACTATTCTTGGCTATTAGCCAGGAAATAGTTGTTTTCCTACAGAAGTTTGCCAAGTGTTACTGTGTAGAAAAATTGGTCCAATAAATTTTTTTTTCAATTATGAACTTTCGTGTAGGTTTACCTCTTCACTATTTTTCACATCGAAGTGTTATTATTTGTTCTAATACATGATTAATTACTTTAACAAAAACAGTTAAAACAGTAACTGTTCAAACTGATATTTTACTAATAACATGCTAACGATAACCATTTGTAGTGCCTATAGTACATAACCGTAACAAAATGAAGTCATAAATAATTCATTGCATAAATTGTCGTCTTATGATAATCAGTTTCACGCTTTGTAAACTGTCTGACAATTTCAGAAGTCTATTTGGTATCAAGTTGCATATCATTTATGATATACACATAGATTCTCACAATCCAGAATATTTTTACAGATTATCACAATGACTCGTAGGGTCGAATTGACATTCAAGTTGAATTATATTAATGATCAAGTATATTCATATACGAGTAGTCAAGAGAATCCGAGGCAGTCGATTTCGAGTCGCTCACAAGAACTCGACCATTCGCAGACCACAACTTAGCGAATTTTGCATCGTGACTTGAGCCTGCACCCATACAAAATTCATCTCCACAGGAACTGAAGATAAACGACCTGCTCTGGAGCAGTTGGCAACTGACCCAAATTTTCTCATCTTCAGCGATGAGGTTAATTTCTGGATGAATGTGTAGTGAACAAATAAAATTGTCGAATTTGGGACGATACCAATCCATATGAGATCCATGAGCGTCCAATGCATCATAAAAAAGTCACTGTTTGATGTGGATTACGGGCTGGCGGCGTCATCGGTCTATATTTCTTTGAGAACTACGTTGGTCAGGCCATCGATGATTACCAACTTATTAAGGCCTGAATTGGATGATGTAGACCCCACGAAATGTGGTTTCAAGGGTAGGTGCCACACAACTGGCACTAGCGATTTAAGGTTATGATTATCTTACGTGGAGGTGATGTGCACTGGCCACGAGATTGTGCGATTTAGACTTTTTATTGTGAGTTTTTTTTCTTAAGTTGCAGGTGTATGCAAATAAGCCACAAACCACAGCGGACCTCAAAGCCAACATAACCCATGTCATCAGTCAAACTCAGCCTGACTTATGCGCCAGAGTCATGGAAAATTGTACGTTTCGGATGCGCTTCACCCAGAGAAGCCGAGGAAGACATTTGAAGGATGTTATATTCCACACATAATGGCATCAATAGGGCTTCAAACGAATGAAACATTTTGATGATATCCCACACACATTTTGTATATTTACATTTTTTTTTCTGATTGATTCTGCCGTTACTTGATGAAGATCCATAGTAATTTCATAAACTACAACTCACGATTTGATCTCCACAAACTTTATTTGAAAAATATAATCACAACATGTTTCGCTAGCACAGTAGCTCTCTTAAGTATATGAAAGTATATTCATGTTGTGATAAAGTGTTCATTAACTTTGAACATGTTGTGATTATATTTTTCAAATAAAGTTTGTGGAGATCAAATCGTGAGGTGTAGTTTTTGAAAAAAATGTTTGGTTACATTTCAAGATAAGAAGCGCCTAATGAAAGACCTTTAAGTTACACCAAACTAATTTTATTAAAAACGACAAAGGTATTTGTTTCCTAAGAACAACATTTTATCTCTTAAGTAAGGGAATCCAGACAAACTTT